GTATAGTTTCTGGGGGGCACGGGGAGGGCTGTGCAACACAGAGAAGACAAGTAGTGATTTTACAGCATCTTACTACGCTGATGGACCGTGACTGTGAAGGGGTATGTGGGGGGGACTTGGTGAAGGGGAGAGCCTAGTAAACATAATCTTCGTTACATAATTGTAGATTAATGATACCAAAATAAAAAATAATAAATAAATAAAAACTTTTTAATAATTCAAGAATATTATCACAGAAAATTGAGAAAATATTGTATGTATGAAAACAAGAATAAGATGCTGTTAAATAAAGGAACATTCAGAGAATTAAAAAGAAAACTAGGAATTAACAAATGTGATGGCCAAAATAAAAAATTAATTACAACCATTGAAGGATAAAACTGAGGCTGTATCCCACAAAGACTATCCAAAGACAAAGAGATGAACAGTTTGACAGAAAAGGTCTGGGTGATCCATCCATGAGGCCCAAAATCCAAACACAGGCATTCCAAAGGAGAGAACAAAAATTGCAAGGGACAAATTATCAAAGAAATAATGCATGAAGATGTCCCAGAGTCGAAGGTCATAAGTTTCCAGATTGAAAATTTCACCAAGTACCCAACATAGAGAATGAGAAACTTGTCAGAGTTTCAGGACACTAGAAATAAAGAACCAAAATCTTCTATGGCAAAAATGGAAGTTTTAAGGGATTTGTATTCAAAATGGTGACAGACTCTTTACAGCCCTGGTGAAAACTAGACATGATAGAGCACTGCCTTCAAAATTGTGAGAGTGAGTTATTCCTAACCTAGGAAACCTTACAACCAAAGGTTTAGTCAGGGATGAAGGAATAAAGACTTTCACATGTGAACAGTCTTAGAAAGTTTACCCTCTATGTACCTTTTCTTAGGGAATGTTCTAGTAAGAGAGAATAAGCAAAGAGGAACACCTGGGATTCAGAAAACAAGATTTCCAACACAGAGCCAAGGGGAATTCCTAGCATCACGGGGAAGGGGAATTCCAGGGCAATACCTGCATGGCAGGCCTGGAGAGCAGCTCCTCATCAGGGTTGAAGAAGGATATGTTTTAAAACTGATAGCTCTGTTGGTATATGTGCCATAGTTGTATATATCTGTCAGAGTTTAGAGATACATAGGTACATAAAGATACATTTTTTAATGAAGTAATGAGACAGTTACCAACAACAAGGAAAATCAAACATAAATGAGAAAGGAAAATGTATTATAATATACAGTATGGGTCAGCTGTGAATAATCTTTATAAAGCCATAGTAATATATCAAATCAATTTGAATATTGATTTGCCCAGAATTGTGTTGAAATAATATATAATGGGAGGAACAGGATAAAAAGAACTAAGAGAACTAATTATTTTTTCCATAGGAGAAAGTCAGTAGGTGGTTTCTGAAACTTAAAAATCAATAGATAACAATATAAGTCTTATCTAGAAAGGGAGGTAAAAATGAGAGGGAACTGCTAAAAGAATTGAAAAGTGGCTGCCCCTAGAGAACAGGAATCATACAGATGGGAGGGTGAGGCAAGGAACTGTTTTCCTTATCTATAAAAACAAATTTTAGCTTTTTTCCAAAAGCATAATTTGACACAATTATAAAATGTATACATCATGTTTGACTTGGAGACTGAATATGTTTTAAAAATAACTTAGATTTTTTTCTTGGTATCATTAATATACAATTACATGAGCAACATTATGGTGACTAGACTCCCCCATTATCAAGTCCCCACCACATACCCCATTACAGTCATTGTCCATCAGCATAGTAAGATGCTATAGAATCACTACTTGTCTTCTCTGTGTTATACTGCCTTCCCCATGCCCCCCCACTACATTATGTCTGCTAATCATAATGCTCCTTTTTCCCCCTTATCCTTCCCTTCCCACCCATCCTCCCCAATCCCTTTCCCTTTGGTAGCTGATAGTCCATTCTTGGGTTCTGTGAGTCTGCTGCTGTTTTGTTCCTTCAGTTTTTTCTTTGTTCTTATACTCCACGGATGAGTGAAATCATTTGATACTTGTCTTTCTCTGCCTGGCTTATTTCACTGAGCATAATACCCTCTAGCTCCATCCATGTTGTTGTAAATGGTAATAACTTAGATTTTATATGGCATCAAACATGAACTGGAACTACTCTGATCTAACTATGGAACTCTTGCCCTTTGCCTTTTAATTAGTACCTTGTTTTCCATAGTTTGTATTGTTCCTAATAATGGAATAAAGCAACTGTTTTCAGGCTGGTATTTTGTAAATAACACATTGTACCCATGCAGTCTTTATTACTTACCACTTAAAGGGTATCTTGGTTCATAAGAAACAGTACTTAAAATTATTCTATTTTGTGTAGTAACTGCCATCAAACACCTCACTTTTCCACTCATACATGAAATCTCAGGCTGACTTTGCAGCTTTTCATTCTCTCATAGCTGTTAAATACTTTTGTTCTGATTCCTTAAGACTCAGTCATTTTCAGTTCCTAACTTCATCTTAACACGTAAATCTCATTTTATTCAAAGCTCTTCTCTGCCCTCCAGCTCCACAGGAACTGGGAGCACGGTCTTCTCTCAGTGGAGCTAGCTAGACTAGAGTATGAGACTAAAACCAGGTTTTTCTTTGGGAATGTATAGTGGCTCCAGCAGGACCAGCTGAAGAGGAGCTTGTTTCCACTTCACTCTCCTAGATACTTTCAGTCCCTTAGGTAACTGACCCACAGCTGGAGACAGCATGCCCATCTTCTCTTTTCCTGGGCTTTAACAAAGTATCTATGAGACCACGGCCCTCCATCTCATTTACTCTCTGCCTCCTGTATGTTTTGAGGGCCATCTTCTGTGAGCACAGGGAACTTGTAGACAAGGGGTTGGCCTTTTCCTCTGGCTATGGTGCTGTTTGCTCTCCCTCCACCATTCAGACAGAGGCAGACCAGCAAGCTCGGTGGAGAAGCAGACAACTAGGGGGTAAAATGTCCCCATGATTTCTTAGTCTCCCAAACTTTGTGATTCTTTGGAGTAACAGGAGAGAAGGAATGTGGTATTGTCCCAAATGTGAGCTTTCTCTCCTTGTCCTCTCTTCCTCTGATATTTGAGTCAAGGTATGCAAGATGGTAATACAAACCCTCCAAACTCGGCAGTCCAGAGTACAGGTGACTGTCCTCCATCTGACTCTCAAATTGAGACAGGGACCGTGGATGTAGTCAGAGTAGGGTGAGGGCCTCCGGAGGGGGCAGGGCAAGATATTTGCAGTCATAGCAATGTAACTACATGCAAGGAAACCCCCCTGTTGAAACTCTGTGTTAAACATTGAGCTCTAGAATCATTCTTCAGTGAAATCAGTTAATGTTCCCCAAATAAAGAAGAGCAGCACATATTTTATTATGCTAACCATTTATAATCATGTGTAAGGTTCTCTTTAGCATACTAAAAGGCCCAGGCCTATGTGCTGTCTTTCCTCCTTCAGATCTGATGAAGTGATTTTGCAAACTGGGCAACTAATTTAGCAAGTAAGCCCAGGCATAAACAACACAGTAAAAGGCAGGAAGGATTCCACCTTAAAGATAAGATTGCATTTTAATACCCAAGAAGTTAAGACGTTAGATATTCTTAACTTACTCTTTAGCAAACAATACCTCGGCCCACCTTGGGACTGAGCAGGTGGCCTTGTTTCATATGCTCCCAGACCAAGATGCTGGTATCTCAGGGAGAAACCATCAGAGGAAATTACTTGTATTAAGTTAATTCTAAATATTCAGGGACCACTTAACAAGTCCACACCCCTAAGTTTTTTCATGTTCTCAAAAAATCCTCAGCTGCCTATAAAACCCCCTAGACAACGCACCACTGCGGACTCTCCAGGAGCTCTGTCCTTTCACTTTATCTCTAAATAAAAGCCTGTACCTTGCTCTCCTACCTTGACTGTTTGTGAAGCTCATTCTTCGGCTCCACAAACAAGAACCCTGGCATCAAAATCAGAAGGTGATATTTAAGTACTGCCTTTTCTTTGGTATGGTATGTGCCTCCATTGTCGATTGGTAATTATGGAAGTACCAATAAATGAAAAACCCAAGTAGAATGTAATTATCTCTTTATTTCACCTTTGTCTTTAACGTTGGCCCATTATTCATATAAATTAAACAGTAAAACAAAAACTAACTAAAATGACTGTTTTTAAAAAGTTACAAGTTCCATGGTAGTAAGGAATGCTTAAATGGACCAATAAACTAGCTGAATCATGAACAAGCTTCTCTGTTACCTGCCACTCTATACACTAGTGTATGTGTGAAGGCTCTTAACTGTTTTAGTTTTACAGTGAAAGAAAAATAGTTGAAATTGATTTTATATAAAATAGAAGCTGAAAGATCAAAATTCAGACCTGTTTCTGCCTGGTGCCAAAACTTATGCTTTATACCACTGCTTTATGCTTCCTCCCTTTAAGAAATTGCAAGTAATTTTCAAACACATTAAGGATGTTGTTATTAAGGATATCATGCTTAAATAAATTTGACCATGACAGATGTATGTTCCTTAGGTTAGTCTTAATAGGTCATAACCAATATTGTTTTCTTACACTTTGAAGTACATAAATATATGACAAAGGTTCATTATGTGAAAATGTTTAATATGCCATTTCATAGATATGCTCAAAATAATTTTTCTGTACTTCAAAATACGTATTTAAATATAGAAGGTCAATAAAGCTCAGGAGAATCTCTTAAACCCTTGAAAAATGTTTTTCAGTACTAATGAAGACTATGTATATATATTCTTAACATATTTCAAATAATCTCTGTTAATTTTTATATGTAAAGGACTATTTACTGAATATTTACAGTATTTCCTCTACCTGAAGACCCTGTCATCCACCAGATAGAATTTCTACCTGAGATGTTTAGAACATTGTTATGTCACACATATTGTTCATAGGTTCTTTCTCCCCCCCTGTAGAAAGTATTGTTTTGGATCTTACAACAACTTGTTTTTCTTCATCTTCAGAGAGTGAAGCTTGTCTTGGCATGGAACCAAGTAAAGAAAGCCAACACAGAGAGGAGACCCTGGAGAGCAGCCCCTGCTCTCAGCAGACAGACGGGCAGGCAGGTCTCCGCAGCCTTCTGGGAACTGCAGGGAAGCGCCACACGGAGGAGCTGCTCTGCAGCACCGGAGCCACCCCAGAGCTCCACGCCCAGCCCTTGGAGACTGCTGGGAGCAGGGCTGTGCCACACTCTTCCGATAATGCTTGTGAGGATGACAGCAGCTTGCAGCTGGCTCAGACGGAGGCCTGCCACAATGTAGCCAAAAGAGAGGGCATTGCTGAGGACCCTGAGGCGTCGCTTTCCAGGGGGTCAATGTTAGAGCCATTGACTTTACCAGCCTCTCACCTCGTATCTTCTGTGTTGATTTCTGATGGTAAATACTCACAGGCTCAAAGAAAGGAACTCCACTTGCCACTTCAGGGTGCTTCTGAGGCATGGCCCACGGACCAGCTTGAGAACAATGAATTAAATGAGCTGCAGCAACCTGGCCTCACGGACTGTGATGGAAAATCACCACAGGGGCAGGCTGACTCAGAGTGCTCTGAGGGTGTGCTTTGTGGAAATAATGAACTATCTGAGTTAAGTACACTGCTTCCAGAGGTGTATATGGCCCCAGAGGAAAAGGGAGCTGAGGAACACGTCAGCAAAGAAACCGAAGACTATTTGAACAGCCTTCTAGAAGGATGCTTAAAAGATACTGAAGAGCCCCTTTCCTGTGAAGATAACCAAGAGGAAGACTCTGATCTCCTTCAAGATCTTTCCCCTGAAGAAGCATCCTACAGTCTGCGGGAGAATCTGCCTTCGGATGATAGCTGTCTTTCTCTCGATGATCTTGCAAAAAGGATAGAGATTGCAGAGGTAAATTTGAGATTTCATAAAAGCACAGCTAAAATTAAAGTGAAAATTTGTTAAGTACATGTATGCTAAATATTGCAGTTTTTTTTTAATTTTCCCAGATCTCAAACATGGGAGGAAATTTTAGTTAGCATAAGCTTTTAATCATTAGCAGTTTTATTTGTTTACATGTACTGAATAAAATGGCTTTTTTATTTATATTCATCATGTTCAAGATGTTTATACTTCAGGAAGTTATATTGCATTTGTCTGGGTACAGTAAGCATTATGAACACCACTTTTTATATTCCTGTGACTTTTATTTGGCAGTCCTGGCAATTATGATCAAGACAAGATTAGTTACATGCTGGTAAGGAAATCTCATTTTTCTTCTCATACATTTAGAAGATAAAATATAATATATGCTCACTATTTCTTATTATTAATATGTTTTCTATCTTTAAAACAGCATAACAGAGTAAAGGAAACATTTTAAAATACAGTAAGACTAGGAGATATTGGATGGATTTTTAAGCCATTAAGTTGTATGTTGTGAGTCTTCTCTTTCAGTGTTCATTTGTATGCTTTAGGTTTGAACAGACTTAATGCTTACTACTTGTTTAAGTCAAATACTATAAATAATTCAAACTTATAAAGTTTCTCTTAACAGTAATGAAGCTAATCAGAACCAAGGTTAAAAAGAGAGGATCAAGATATCCATCCTCTTTTGTTTGATACTACAGTTTTTTAAATTTCAAGAAAAAAAGGTGAAAGCCATACCAAATCTATACCTGCTCAGGAAGGAGGCTAGTAGAGTGCAAAGAGCAGAGTGTAATAATAGTCTTAATTCACACACTGACTCCACAAGTTACTAGCTTGATGTAGGTACTGTTTTACCTAAGTCCCTGTTTTCTCCTCTGAAAATTAGAATCCTAATTAACTTTCTTCTTCTTCATCATATATTTTTATCTAAGTGAGGTTCTAAGTCCCATTTATATCCATGTTTTCTAATTCTGCATTATTGGGGGAAAAAAAAAACACTCAGTGGAAAATGGGAAAGTAATAAAGCCAAAATAGACAATAAAATATGCATGAAAACAGAACCCTGAGAGCTTTCTGAAATATCTGTTCCATCCCTGGCTTCCTCTGTTGCCACTTAGAGGCAATTCTCCATCAACTGTGATTTTTCTTCTAAATTTTTTTCTTAAAATTATTTAACAGCACTTAATGAGTACAGGGTTTCTGGTTTGAGTAATGAAAACTTTATAAATAGTGTTGATGGTGATTACATTGCAAGTGTAATTAACGCCATGGAATTGTGCACTTGAGAATGGTTAAAATGGCAATTTTATGTGATGTATTTTACCCCATGTCCTAAAAATTATAAAAAAAAAAAAAAAAAGGTTAAATGAAGCTGATAGAATAGCATCAGACCCAATATTCCTTCTCTTATTTTCAGCAGACCTCTGGTACGGGGAATTATCAAAGCAAGTCACATCCATATTCAAATCTACCTGTAATACCAAAAGACTACCGTTATCCGATGCATCTTTCACACCAATAACCCAGTTGGCCTTGTAGAAAAAAGACACGTGGTTCCACCTTTTTGTGCATAAAGTGTTTGGAAGGATCATCTGGCTCCTGTTGAGTTTCCCTCCCTTAAAGACCATTTCTGTTGGGGATTACTGTTGAATTAACACTGTATCCCAAGTAGGTGGAATACCCGTCCCCAAACTCATAATATCAGTTTTTCCTATTAGGTAGTACCTAGTGGCGAAAACTATGTAGTTACATTTTAAACTTATCTTTCCTGTGAGGTTATTTTTCATATGCAGTGATCCCCTTTCCTAAAATGTTGGTCTGTTGTGTTGTTTTAAGAACCCCAAAAGCTACATATGATTAATAAAACTTATTTGCCTTCCTATGATAGTGCTGAACAGGTTGTTTCTGAATACTTCCTTCAGCATTCTGAGAAATATACTTTAATAAAATATGCCTAACTTTGTCAGGAAGAGTTTTTAAATTTTCAAAACTACTTTCTGAATACCTTAAGAATGAGGTTTGGGATTAAGCAAAATGTCCAAGTAATAGTGGGTTTGCTTATAAGTGCAAATTTTTTTTAAGCCAAACACTGTTTGTTTCATGCTTTCAGTAAAACTTTATTAAAGAAATCTTCCGGATGTCTGGTGTTAAGGATAGAGTGAGGAAGCAGGTGAAGTTTTGGCCTTTTGGGGCCTCACTCTGTGCTGCCACCATTGGCTAATTTTACCAGAATTGTTTTTTAAGTATTTTTCATCGCTCAGGTCTGGGTTCATCGGAACTTGGCTTTGATAACCATCACCAGCCCAGTAGAAGCATTTGTTGTGTGTCTTTTATTAAACAATTAGATTCATCACATAAACTGAAATAATTTATGCAAAATCTACAGAGACCTAAAAGTGTCTGTACTAATTTAATTCATTAATACAGAGGCATGTATAAATGAAACTTTTCTAGGTTTGGGAAGCTTTTTCAAATCCAGAACAATTTTGCCAAGTAGAATGATAGCTCAATATCTGAAGCACGGCTGTTCTTCCTTATGTAAGAAAAGCATTGACACACTATCATCAAAAGTATACCTCCACTGCTTTAAAAAAAAAGCCTAAAAAACATGCTCATTTCACAGATTTTTAAGAAAAAGAGGGTATAACATGTACAGTGTCAGATAGCAAATTTGAGAGATTCACTCATTTATGCCCTTATTCATTAATTTTTGAGTAGCTTCTGTGTGTGTGTCACAACATTAAAGATACAGTGATTAAAAAGTAAGGTCATAATCACTTAATCACACACACATAATCACATGTGTATAAAGCCTACAGTCTAACACATCTGACTGCAAGTGTTTTCTGTTTGCTGAATCTGAGTATCTTGATTTTTGAAAAAAGACTACATTTTATTGCAATACCCACAATATGCTGACATGATTAATGAGAATTCAAACCCCTTTACCCAGGAACCTGGTAATACTAATAAATCATTGACTTCCTTGGTTCTAGAACTTGGAAGGGTTGCATTATTGTCTCTTTGAATTCCTCAGATGTTCTTAGCACGAAAACCTGGGAGAAGAAATATGCTCTGCAAATTCATGGTGGCTTTATAATCCAACCCCATAATGCTAATAAAAGTCTACTCAGTGGACTGTTACGTACGTGGGAGGAGGGGAGTTGTTTTATTCTCTAAATTAGTGACACATCAAATGTTGGGTAAATTTTACAGAAATGTATCTTTTCACATTGAAAATAATCTTAGTATGTAATTCAGAGATCTACTTTGTGAGCATGTTTTAGCAAGAAGATATGCCATATGGAGATGAACCATTCATTTATCTTCATTAACATACACATGTGTAATCTTTTTGAAGAGTTGTCATATGTATTAAATGCTTCAGAAACAAGTGTCTTTTGTATTTAGAATAATGTCATCAGGTGATTTGCCTCTGCTTGAGTCTTTAGAAAGCTTCTAATCTGAAGGAGGGCAAAACATGGCACCCTCCGTCTATGTTGGCAACATTTACTTAGATATTTTCAGGTCTACCTGTGTCACAGGTAGAACTTTCTGATAGGGAGAAAGATGACAGCCCAGAATTGCTGTTGGGCTTGTCTTCAAAGAATCTAAGTGACTTCTGGACAGGCTTCATCCCTGTCTCTTATCTAGATCGCTGGGATTAGGGAGGTAAAGTTACATTAAGACTAGACACTGTGGGACTCCCTTACCAAGAGATGGGAGGCTTGAGACTAAGTAGCAGGATTATGAAATCATGTAGGTAGCTGTTCTGTTGATCTCCTACAAAGGAGGGGTCTTAGAAGCAACAGCCATTATTGATCTTCCCAGAATAGCTCTTTTGAGGAGAGCAGGGGAAGTCCATCCAGCTTCCTTTGAATAGAGCAAATGCAGTCTTCCAATAGCATAGGGTTCATGGAAAATGGCTGACCCAGGATTTATGCTCATGTCTAAAGAGCCCCCAAAGGGTTATCTAGGAATTACCCAATTTTTCTTTGTGCCAGATGGTCTCATCTTTGCCTTTCTTTTTTATTCTGTCCTCTAAATTTTCTAATTAATTAATGCTTCTCTTGATTGTGCTCAGCTCCTTTTCTTTTCCATTTAATCATTCTTTTAACTTACATCTTTACTGCCTTTTCTTGGACTTTTACAATAGTTACTTAACAAGTTTCCCCATCTGCTGTACCATCTTCTCCCCATCCAAATGCTCTTACATTAGTACTATATAAACTTCAGGTCTCCAACTGATATGCAACGGGGCCAATTAGGTAATAAAAGTAAATGAAATGACTTAGTTGTAGAATGGTAGGAAGAAGGCTCCCACACCTTGTCTAGAGGTATTCAGCTTTTAAAATATGAAATATAGATGAAACAAACACACCTGATGGTCTGGTCTAACACATAGACTATTAGATTAAACCTCTGCCATGAAATATTTTTGCCTTGTCATTCTCTTCTGAGAGTACATTTGGCTCCAGGATAAAGACTGTATTCAGGAGCTTGGTAATCTGGTATTCAGAGGCTTGCTATTCAGGACACTTGGTAATCTGGCCCACTCTACTTTTCCATCATCTCCTGTCCCTTTGTCCTCAGCCTGTGCTGTAGTCAACCTGGCCTCCTCGCTGCCTCCCAGATACACCTTACCTACTATCCCCTCTGATCTTAACTTCTCTGTTGATCTGCTCTGGAGTGATGGGCCTCCTTTCCACATACGTATTTCTTCTCAACCCTCAAGATAATAGGTCATACCTTTGAGCATGAGGAGTGCCAGCCCCAAAGCCTGACTTGTAAGCAATACTCAGTAAACACCAGCTGCTGCCATTTTCCCCTGGTCACTGAAGTCCATGTTTAGTCCTTTCAAACTACTCCTCTGAACTTCAGATGAGGGAAGGGCTTGAGCATCATTCCTCCCAGAGTCCTGTCCAGGGGTAATCTTCCCATGTTATTATAGGACACATATGCTATCTTCCACACTGTTTATGCTATCTATCAGGTAAGGATTGTTGCTGGAGATACAAAGTACTTTGGAAAAGACATGTATTAGGTTTAATGAACTGTTCATCTCACTGTAGTTGTAATATATATTACAATAGATGGCACTAAACAAAATTTTAATAGTCATAGGAAATAAAATATTTTTAAATTAGGGAAATGGCAAGAGGTTTAATCTAGAGTTTGTATTTAAACTCTACCAGTAACTGGTGCTACAAATGTAATCATGTTCTAAGCTTGGCTTCTTCATCTGTAAAATGGGACTGGTATACCTGTGTAAATAGAGTTGTGAAGATTAAACATGACTTATTATGTGAATGTCTTTACATAAAGTATAAAGATTCACCAAATTATGGTTCTTATTATGGAACCAAAATCTAAAGGAGCAGGCAGACAACATAACTTGTCCCATCAGTGAAGAACAATAGTGATAGGTTTGACATATGCTTCTACAGTGAAATCACTGGCATTTAAGTTATTTATGATACACTAATATGATTTATGAATGTTAATTCTCAAGTTAGTTGGAAACCATATGTTCTTGTTCAAAGTTTACCAATTTTGAGGTAAGATAAAACCAATTTATCAATTCTGGATTGAGTAAAGTCTACATCATTATTAAAAGAGTACTATTTAGTGTCTACTTTCTCCTTTAACTTTGTGAGGAGGCAGTTATGACAGCAAGACCTTTCTGAATGGTTCTGTTGCCAGACAACTGCATCTAGGGAGGTCTCTCTCTGCGCACCAGGTGAACCCTCAATGTGGATGGGAGAGGGTTCTTGGCTCTGAATGAGAAAGAACTCTTGAGCAGGTTGGAAGAGTATAGGTAAGGAAGGAATTCATTAAAGCGAGAGTAGCTGGGAATGACTGCCTTGTAGGCAGCAGAGATCAAGGAAGCTATAGTAGGAAAGAGAGAGTGAAGACTTGTACGTAAGCCTAGAACATAGACTGAAATTATGAAGTAACAAAGACACACCACTGGAAGAGCACAGACAAAATGCAGTAAGTCTAGCAGTGAAAAGGCTTTATTTTAAAAGTACACATTTGAAGAAAGGGGAATATGGGCAACCTCAGAGAGGAGGCGCCCTTAAGGGCTTAGGATTTTGTCTTTTAAGGCTTTCAAGAATAGGGCAAAGGGCAGGGGTGGGGGGATGAAGTGGGGTGGGTGGTGTAGGCTTGACATGTAGTCTCATCATGTCTTTCTCTGATGAGAGACATTATGTTACCATCTACAGTCAGTCCTATAGATAATTCTGTAAAATAAACTTAACAAAAGGAACTTACTGCTCTGATTCCTCTCCAAGATAGTGTTTCCCTCAAGCACTGGGAACATAGCAATTAGGACTGCTGCCCTGCCTTAAGATAGGGTTAATTATTGTTTGATTAACAAAGAATCTGTTAGGGGTCTTACCTCCTAACTCCCTCGTTTTTAAAATAGAGTCTGAGCCTTAGGATGGAGTCCCTCCTGTATCTCGGCATTTTTCATCATAGGCAGGAAAAGTCAATCATGATGCTTCGATGCTTCTCCCATGTCCCTGCCCTACCTCAGTTTTCCATCACATTAGCATTTACTATGCCAGTAGAATTGCAAAATAATTTCGCTTTTGAACCAGGTCATTCTTAAAATGCTATTTGAGATCATAATTGATGTTTGAGGGGAAGTGCAAAAGAACTATTTATTTGCAAATACACAGGCCTAGGCCAGTAGATGTTTCTGTGGTGGTTTTTATTTCTGCAGTCATTCATAGAGTACTACCAGGAACAATTACATTAATTACAGCTTAGAGATTCTTTATGTTCTCAGTGGAAAGGCTTGGTATATTTTGTTTGGATAGGAAAGAAATTTGTTAATTGAGGTGGGAAACTAAATTTAGTTTTTAAAGCTTAAACATTCTTAACCTTTTAATACCAACATTATGGTAAAAAAAAAAAAATTCTAGACAAATTTCTTTGTGTCCCAGATCAGCTTCCCAAACTATTTAGAAACATTTGGCAGTCTTTTGCGTGAGACCCCAAACCAAAACCATGCCCTTGTTTTGGCTTGCCTGTTTATCATAGAAATTCAGGTCAACTCTTCCAAAGTAATTTCTTAAGCTTTTTATGTTTGACTGCTTTGGGTGTGGTAAGTAGGAATTTCTATGCTAGAAGTAGGTTTTATGACCTTTGACCAGACTCTTGCCAAAACAGAAAGGACCACACCCACCTGTGTTCTGAGAGTTTACCACTTGGCTTGCACCTCCTGTGCCGACACTCAGTCCTGCCATCCCTTGTTCTTTGTCTCCAGACTTTCAACCAGGGGGCGGGGCAATTAAAAAAGATCCCTGGGCAAGACTGAAAGGGGAATAATGGAAAAGAGCAAGGTCCTCTGCTTCAGACACTGGTGCAGACCTCTGAAACAGAAGGGTTTGGTGGGAGAGGAAGAGGCAAAGTGTAAGGTGTGACTAGATTTTGGGCCAAGGGTTTAGGGTGGGGCAGGGCAGGGTGTCAAAACAAATTATTGGTCCATCCCACACAACTGTAATTTCTCCTACTTCTTCCCTCTTTCAAGAATTTGCCAAAGTTCATTGCCAACCAAAGTAAATAAGGTGGAGCCACTTGGGAAGGCTTGTACCCCTTAACCACATTACTTTCACAGCCAAACACCCCAGTTGAGGCCAAGCAGAAGCTGAGGTGGGGATGACCGCTGCTGCACCAGAACTGTCTTCCAGGTCTTAGAAGCACATTCCGTGCCTTTCCAAATGACTTTGGGAATTTCTCTCAGCCTTTCAAATTCCATTTATTTATATTTGCAATGTGTTTTTATGATTTGGGTCAAAATTCATATCACAAAGATATACAGATAACAATAATGCCTTTCTGGGGCTCACCCTCAGAACTATTCTTAATAGGACTGGTTTTTTTTCTAAGTAGTTAAAGCAACTTGAAAGTGCCTGTGGTAGGTGAATTCACTGTTGGTAAATGTACATATATGACTTTATTTTATGGAGAAAATAACAAATGAGTCTGTGAAAACTAGACCCCCCTTCTTTTTTTTACATTTACTGAAAATAGAAATGTCAGTGATACATCTTTAGTAGTAATAGATTCATTAATATTTCTATTTTCCATCTCTTGTTCTTGAGAATATTATCAGGACTTCTTTCCCTCCCAGTTTCAGCAAGGCACTTATAAAATAATTTTTCTTTGTTTTGGAAAGAGCTCTTTAATATTATTGCTTTTAAAGAAAGATTTGAAAGATTATTCCTTTGCATATTTGCACTTACCATCTCAATGTGACTTAAGTACTTTTGTTTTCTCAGAAGAAGGACATCATCTCAGATACACATTTCCTATAAAAAGAATAAATTGCTGACATTTTGTTTTGTTTGAGATAATGGTTTTCTATAGACTCATGTTTAGGGAAGCCCAGAAAAAGACTAATAATAGAGTTATTTGGCCCTAAAAGCCTTGAGTTATAAAAAGAACTAATAGATATATAATATTTATGCAAAGCACATTATCGGAGATGGCTGAGTGGCACTGGAAATGATATTAAGTATTTTATTCCATCGATAAGATAGATGACATTACAGGCAGTCTTCTGCCTGACAGTAGCTGATACAGCAAATCACTGGCATCTCCACTGTTAGACCCACAGTGCTCACCTGTGTCATCACTTACAGCTCAGCCAAGCAAGGCAACTCCCAAGTTAGCTTCTGAGAGTCAGTCTCCTGTATGGGGCAGGGGGGGCCTTTGGTAAGGCCCCCTGCTTCCAGACTGGCCCTACCACCTGATCCTCTTCTCTTCCTACATCTTGGAGTCTTTTAACTTCTCAATGGCAAGGGTTTTTGTTTTTTGTCTTTGTTCCTAATAAGGGCTAGGGCAGAGGCAGGAGAGAGGTGTCTCAATTGAAAACCAGAACACAGTATAGGAATGGGTAGAAGTGGGGGACTAAAGAGACATTAGACAGCAAACTTTTCCTGTGCAGGGCCAAGAATTAAGTATTTTGGATTTTTGGACTGTTGCAGCTGTTCAGTTTCCGCCACTGTAGCTGCCATATACAGTCAGTAGATGAATGGGCTGAGCTGTGTTCCAGTTACGTTTTATTTACAAAACTAGGCATTGAGCCTTAGATCTACCAGCCATAGTCTGCTGACTTCCACATACTACAAAGTAATATGTTCCTAGTAAACTGGGTCTGAGAGAGGTTCTGGCAGAGGAGTCCTTCAACTGTTCTGTGCAGTAGAACATTATTTAGTAAATCATAGTTTCTCAGAGGAACTGAGGGCAGCACTCACTTTGATGTTAAAAGTTGGTTTCAAGTATTTTAAGTCTCACATGTTCGTTGCTTAGAAATTGGTGGTGAATGAAAAAAGCAGTGGTGGATTATCAGCCTCTCTTATAAAGCAAAACCCAGCATTAACAATTAAGCAAAGTGGAGCCATAAGTGATCATTTTACAGATGACTTCCAGGGAAGTGGTGCTACAAAGCAAGGTGGTTAAAAGACGCCTGGTTTCCAGCCTACTGTATGACATGTCACACATTCATGGCTTTAGGAAAGGAGTTAGAGTTTTAGATGTGTGTTTTTGGCAGTCATCTGCCTAGAAGTAAAAGCGTTATTTTGTTAGATGTTGATGGTTAATTGTGATGTTTTTCCTGCAGGAATTGGGTAACCTATAATGGAAATTCAACTAACCATTGAGTTGAATTAGCCTTTTTACCTTTAATGTGAAACATTGCTACATCCCACCACAAGGTGACAGATGGTTCTTACACTCTCTGACAGGTTGTTCCTGCAGAGGGATTGGTCTCTATATTAAAGAAGAGGAATGATACTGTAGGAGATCATTCTGCCCAGATGCAACAGAAACCATCTAAGCGAAGAGTGAGATTCCAAGAAATAGATGATACCTTAGATCAAGGTAAACTTTGACCCAGAGTTGATTCTCAGTGTTTTGCTCAAGAATGAATTAATGTATGACAGATGTTTGGTAACAGGATTTGTAAAAAACACATGGGCGTTCTTTATCTTCTATAAAGAAATACATAGAATCACACTGTTATCGGCTCTTAAATTATTCCTAAGGTTTTTGTTTGCTCAAATAAGCAAGCAAGTTGCAGAATTCAACTCATGGCCTCCCTGCCCCTGTTGAGAACAGATAGTCCTCAATTTCTGTAGCTCAGTTTCCTTGTTTAAGGTTCTCTTTGTCATCTTTTCAGTGGCAATTAATACTCCTTCTTTACAGGTGTGGAAATATTTGTCTTTGAGTTGAATTAGCCTTTTTACCATTACAAATCTGTTATCTTTGGTGATTTCTTCTTGACTCTGTAGAAGAAAGTATCTGTCTTTCAAGAGCAGCAATTTAACACTGTTGCTATTGTTTGACTTTCCCCTCTTGTGTCTATATTCAACGTGGTTGCTAGGTTTACCTGAGGCTTAGGTAAACAAGGGTGAGTATAAATGTAGCCAAGAACCTGTTTGTCTCTTGTGTTTATATAGCAACTGCATTGTTAAGCAATGTAACTCTGGGGAAAGGAAATTCTGGGGCAAAATACCTCTAAAACTGAAATCAAAGGGAAAAATAAAATTGAAAACCCATTTGTTGCTTACAAACTGCAGTCTGAGCCATTTCTCTTTCCTGCTCCAACAGAAACAAACCAGCCCTCCCTCTAACCTCTCAGGTTCAGATAAGCCCTCTGTGGCCCAGGTAACTACCCATTGATATGGAGATGAACTACTTCACTCCACCCCCTGAGGAACGCCTGTTGATAGGCAGATGCACTAAAGCCAGGAGAGATATTCTGGAAATATTACAATTTTACCCACAGCAACACTGTAAAGAGTAGACATGCTTTCTAAGTGTGTCATAAAGTGATTGCAGTTGAGGTTTCTAAGTTTTTACAGTTACAAAGGAGACTTGGAAATAATCTGTTCCCACCCATTGTTTTACCTCTGCACCTTGCTATCACAGTCTTCTCCAGAAAAAATGGTCAATTCTTTGTTTGAAGTAATTGGCATCGAATTGTGGCTTACTGGAAGGAACCCTGGATTTAGAACTGACAGTCCTATTTTGATTAGTAACCACCTCATCTTAAGCCAAGTCCTTCTACCTGTGCTCAGGGGCCACCTGTGCCTTGCAGCTTCCACATAGGGCAGTGCAGCTCTCAACAGTTTCGATGCATGTAGATAAACAAACAAAATAGGTATTTTAAAGTAAACTGTATTTAAGAGTTTGTATATAAATATATGATTCTGAAGAAAAATATAGGAAGCTACATAAACTAGATTATTAATATAGATGGAGGTGGAAGGGAATCATGCCAAAAAAAGAAAAGATGGTGAAAATACTGAACTGGCCCAAAACAGAAACAAACTAAGAAAGAAACAAAAAAACCCAAAAAACACAACATGAATGATATTATCATATTTATTCATTTGCATAAAAAATATATGTGTGTACATACACGTAAACTTGCACCTATTAACTATTAAACTATAAATTAGTAAATCACAAAAGAATATGATGACATAATCCATTTATATAAAAATCCTGAAACCACACATTTGATCTGGAAGGATGCACTCCAAATTTAACAGTATTTGCCTCTGGGGTGGCAGGGGGATGTGACTGGGTAGGCAGAAAAGGGGAGAGTACCTTAGAATCTCAGATACTTTTGTGTTTGAATTTTCATAGGAAGAATATATCGACATATTACTGTAAAATCTTCCAAATAAAGTCTATTTGATGTTTCCTAAGTTTTAGAAAATGTTTCTTTATCATAAAAGTAAATCATGCAAATCATGAAAAAACTCAAAACAGTAATGAAACAAAAAAGTGTAAGCCCTTCAACCCTCCCTTGAGAGTTTCCCTCAGTTATTGATTGGAGATTCTTATTGTCTTTTAAAGGCACATTCTGTATATATTTATGTGTGTGTGTGTGTCTGCCTGCACTGTTCCATCCTGTGCCTTTTTTTTTTTGCTATGTGCCTTTTTTTCTTAAACACAAATGGGTTCATTATTCATTGTTAGGTCACTTTTTAATTTAACCATTGGTCTTGGATATCTTCCTATAAGAAAACATTAAATTTACTTCATTCTGTTAAACAGTTGCATAGTGTTCCATTATATAAGTGTCTCATAATTATTTAGCTATTCCATAACTAGAATAACTAAGTTATTCTCAACTTTTCTTATAATGAGCTTTGCTGCAGTGAAAATGCTTGTAAATACATTGTGTAATCTGTTGGCTAATTCCTGAAGCTAGGTTTTCTGGGCTAAACGGTAGGTACCAGCTGAGGCACGCCTGGTCTACACCCATTGTCTCAACATTGTGTCAGTTACACTTTCAAAAGTGTTACAGTCAAAAGAATAAAATGCTAACAGGATAAATTAAATTAATATGTCAGTTACTTTCCAAGAAGGTTTTGGTGCACCCTCATTGTGTTGATCACAAAACTTTTTTGCCTTTTCTAAATACCTTTTTTATTTAATTTTGAATTATCATTAAGACTTTCAACCAGAGAGTAGTTATTTTCTTCAGTATAGAAAGATTGATGTGGACATTTTTATTAAAAATCAAACTGGGTAGAGTTGTTAAGCAAAATAAAAAGAAATCACTGTGCTAGCTAGAACTTGACTATTCCACTAAGTGATGAGTAAAATTGAGATTTAAGAAGTAAGAGTGATCTCACCCACCGTTTTTATTGTTTAATATCAAATTAATTTTGCTTTAAGGTCCCCTGGTATGAACACCAAAGATACTATAATAAGTTGTAATTTGTACCCTAAAACCACGCTATGAGCACATCAGAGAAGTACTGTCTTTCTTCATTTTTTTATGGAAGTGATTATATTCACCGTATAAATGAGCTAGTTTTACTTTAAGCATTGAACAGGCTTCACAAGAATGTGCTTTGTAAAAATCAGGCAGGTCCTTGCAGAGTCTTGAGGTGTCCTGGCTTCCCATGGATGACTCCTATCCCCAGAGGACTCACACCAGAAATGCATACTTGGCTTAATCAGTGAGAAGGCAGCAGATGCTAGGATTTCCATTTTGTGCAATTTAACCTTACTCTGTTCTCATGTTTGCAGATGAAGTTGGAGGTGGTTCCTGTATTTTACTGGTCCTGCTGTGCATAGCAACGGTTTTCCTTAGTGTGGGAGGAACTGCATTATACTGCACTTTTGGTGACATGGAGTCACCTGTTTGCACAGACTTTGCAGATAACATGGACTTCTACTACACGAAGTTACTGCAGGGAATGGCAGAACTTAAACACTGGGTCTACCTCTCCTAGCAGCGTGCAAGAGGGACAGGCACACTGCCGGTAAGAATCAAAGAGTCAGACTTTCTAAACAGCTTTTATTTTAGGAGTTCTGTAACATGCAACCCCTTCCCCCAGTGAGGAACCACAGATATCAGAAACAGCAACTTTAAATGGCAATCCAGAGGAACTTTTAGAATAATCCACATAATGAGGCAAATACTAGTCTGAGCACTGTGGATGGAGGGAATGATCTTTGGGGAGCATGTCCATCTCCTTGCTGCTTCCTGGTGTAGTGAGCTACACCAAGCAGAACTGAGCAGGGCAGTGTTGGAGCCACACAATTCTTAGCTATCTTGTCAAGCTAATGGGTAAAGTACACTTTTGGTTTACATGTGTTGGTCCAAAGACATTGCTTCTAGCCATCACGCAATAAGTTTGTGTATAATCAAAAGGAGGTACCTTACGGTTTCTGTGTCTTTTTCTAGTTAACCTTGGAGACTGTAATATAGGGTTTGTGCATTATTTCCAGATTCTGTTCTCCATTTGTGAAATGGTTATGTGTGGGTGTGTGCATATGTGTGTGTGCATGCGTGCATGTGTGTTTCAGTTATAAGCAAATCCCCAACATAAAATGGCAAAGATTATTCTTGTAACTTGATTATAGATGTGCAGGCACAAATTTTGAAAAAAGGCTTAATGGTGGAACGGACAAATTTTACAAATCATGGTCCTGAAAAGAGAAATGGTGAGAGATCTGTGACAATTAACTCAATTAACTAGCCAGAAATTAATCATAGCCTAGAGGTAAAATTACAGAGCTCCCTCTGAGTCTCAGGCAACCGTGTCATCAGGGGTTTGGTGCTTCCTGGAGCATGATGAGTGCTGGACTCAGCTCGGCTCATCAGACACTTACTGTGCACCTGTTACGCTCTGAGCCGCTCAGAACCAGAATACCCAGAGAAATAAGATGTTAGTTCCTGCTCTAGATGTTTTAATTCTGGTCTTATATAAAATAAACTGATACTTGGGTACATGAATTAAATCACTACATATGATTCAGTATTAACAGATCATGCACTCAGATTTTGAATATGCATTCATATCCTGGACTTGATTTAGACCTATTTGCGGGGTCATTAAGCGAAAGTTCAATCATATCTTAAACAGGCAAATGTCTGATTTTTGTTTTAATCTGCCAGTTAGGTGGAATTTCCTTTTCTTAGACACAGTTGTCCAACATTTAGGAGGCCTTGCTTTGGCTTTTTATATCACAGGCAGCATTTTAAAAGAAACAAAACACATGAATTATAGTTTTTTAGCAAGTGGTCATTATTTCATAGTTTTCTGTTAGGATCATTTGAAAGAAAAAGGGAGAAATTGTTTTCTAGTTGTTACTGGCTGGTACAGTACCTCCCTTTGCATTTCTGCTTATTTATGTAGGTTCTATGAATTTTTAAAGGGCTTTTTATGTAAGTTGACAGTGTGTTGTTAGGCATGCATTTGGTTATCCCGATGCTAGATATTTAATTACTATGTCCATACTGTTTGATATTTTATAATTTCAATTCAGTGTGTTTTTAGGCTTGTTAGTTTGTAAGTTGATGTTTTATTTTCACTTATAATACTGTTTGTCTTGTCTCTGTCATGTCACCATAAACTGTAATATTTTCAAGGATTATAGATCAAAGATATTTATTTAGAAGTATACAAGATACTGAAATTTAGATTCCTTATACTTATAATTAGAAGATTATTTTAATGTTCTACTATAAATTTTAAGAATTTGTACTTAAATTGTATATAAAATGTTGATGGTACTGACTTACATGGTTCTAGAAAAGACATTCACAAAGTCCTCTATGAGGGGTATCCCTATCTAGACAAACTCTTCTGTTTTACCCTCATGATTTCTAGTTATAGGAATCTGATGATGTCCATACCTGCTGGTTTTCTGTCAAGATAAGTAAAAATTTCCCTCCTGCTTTAGTATCACTATTGAATATCAAATAGTCTGTAGTGTCATATTTGCTTATAGGCTACCAGAGCCACTACTTCTGTAATGGAAGATTTCCTGGTTTCACACTGAGATGAAAGGATTGAGATAATACCTTTTTATGTACTCATGGGCCCAGTTAAGTCTCAGAAAAACCATGTGTGTCCACACCACTCCCCAGGGTGGGTAAGGTGAGCTCAAGGAGCATATTGATCTCTTGACTTAAAATAGGCATGAAATCTCAACTAGAAAAATTAGGGCAACTTTTAAAAGTATAACAGTCATTTATTGCATGAATTGGGGTAATTCCATCTGGTGATGAAAAAATTGTTATCTCACACATAAAAAGTTCATCCAATTTTACTATAATGTAATTTTTTCTGTCATTTGAAAGTAGTACTGACAACTATTTGTAACTAATCATCTTTAAGAACTGTATTTGAGGGTAACAGATCAAGCTCATAATTTAAAATCTACATCAACAAAATATCTCAGAGAGTTCATTTGAAACTGGGGTGTTGAGAAAAACTGCTCTAAAGTGAAAATAAAATACTTTCAAAAGTTGGTCTGGTCCCTCAAGTAGATAGCTATCTATTTTGGGAAGTCTAATTGATCTCTACATAATGGCTCCTCTGCTTCTAAATACCTCCCTTGTCTGCCTGATGTAGTAACTGAAATTTGCTCTAAAAATTCTATTTAAAAATCAAAATCCACTGGGAGCTGTGATTTTGTATATTATGCTGAGAAGATTTGAAATTTGAAGGTAGGCCTTATTTTGAAAGAACAGATGTGAAATCCTTCTGGAGTGGCAGGATGGAGAAAGGGTAAGAATTTAGAATTAAACAAAGGAAGGTGGGAAAAGAACATAGAAATCCTTTAGCTACTAACTTGTTTTTCTGAAGCTTGGTTTTTGACATTTACTTCCAATCCAGAGACAGACTTAATTTTTGTCTCTCCACTGACTCTATTCATTTCTATGGGCTCAGTTAGTATTAACTCACCCTTGTATACGTTCTATGCAGTATACATAGTGTTTCATATTTATTTGTTTGATGCTTAGTTCAGTAAACACACATCCCATAAGTCCAGGTCTTAAATTCCCAAATCTAGTATACTTCCCATTCTGTCATATTGCTTCAAAGCATCTTCAAAATGAATGATTTCATTTTTCATGGCACAAATTCTAGTGCTCTCTGCTATTTTAACAACCTCAAAAATAAATGTTTATCAAGCCTCATGTACTAACCCTGTAAAAGCTACAGTGAGTTAAAATTCTCCTTGAGAATTCTAGAACAATTTAAATCTCCCTGGGTTTAGGCTACTGAACGAACAGGTGTGGTTACACATGCGCCTCTCTTCTCCCTGTTTCTAAGAGTTACTCCTAAACTCAGCTGTTTATCTGTTGCCCTGAGATCATTGCTGGGGCTCCAGAAGCAAGAAATGGTACCAACGTAAAGAAGTATCTGGTGAGGTGAATGTATTTGAAGGTGGAATAAAAATGAAGAAATCAAGGATCATGCTACCAGTAGAGTGGACAAGTTCATTCTGTCTTACCGGGTGGCATGCATTATTAGGAATAAAAGTAAAATACTATCTAGGCCACCTGTATAGCAGATTGATAGACAGGAATATTTTCTCACAGCCAGAGTTCTAGTAATTTAGTTTCTGCATCAAGTTAGCATTTGTGGCAAAGCTGGTGGGCATTCCAGCAGTGAAAAGCTTCTCAGCAAAAGCCTTCTTCAAAATTGAAATTCTGAAGAGCACAATTGAAAACCTTCTGACAAAACTCCAGGTGCTTCCCCAGTAAAAATTCTAATCAATCACTTAAGAAATAACACCCATCCTACAAAACACTCTTTCAGGAGAGTATACTTACCAATTCATTTCATGAGGCCAATATTACTCAGATATCAAAACCAGACAAAGACAATAAGGAAAGATAACTAAAGACCAATATCACTCATGAACTCAGGCACAAAAATCCTTAACATATATTACTAGATGTAATCTAGCAAAATACAAAAAGGATAATACACCATCATGACCCAGAGATTTATCCCAGGAATATAATAGTTTTAACATTCAAAAATCACTCAATATAATTCACCATTTTAACCAATGAAAAAAGAAAAAAACATATTGTCATGCCAGTAGATGCATAAAATTCATACCTGATTCATGATAGAAATTCAGCGAATTAGGACTTCTTCAACTTGGTTGAGGCATTTCTGAAAAAAATCACAAATAATGTCAAATACTTAATGGAGAAAGACCAAATGCTTTTCTTCCAACAAGGCACTCATCACTTCTGCTCAGTGTTGTACTGGATGTCCTATGTATAGCAAGTAAAAGAAAGAAACACATACCAATTAGAATGGAAGAAGTAAAACTTTTTGCAAACTATATGACTGTAATAAAGAAAGTCCTAAGGAATCTATAAAATGCTGTTAGAAAAAGTGAGTTTAGCAAGGTCATAGGATGCAAGGTCAATATACAAAAAATCAGTAGTATTTCTGTATACCAGCAATGAACAACTTGAACATGAAATTGAAAATTCATGAATAAATGAATAAAGATTTATTCCACTTAACATAAAAAACATGAAAGACTTCTAAATTTAACAAAGTATATGCACAATCTGTACAATAAAATCTATCGGACATTGCTAAAAGAAAAAAATGACTAAATAAATGGAGAGATGTGATCTGTTCATGGATGGGAAAACTCAGTATTACTAAGATGTCAGTTCTCCCAGATTGTTGCATAGATAGACCTGACATAATCCTGATATTTCCATCAATTTCTAGAAATTGACAGGTGGACTTTAAAGTTTGTGTGGAGATGTAAGTGACCTGGAAGATAGTCAGTGAAACTGTTAGAACAAAATTGGTGGACTTTCACTTTTTGATTTCCAGATTGAATGCTACAGTAATCAAACTGTGGTGTGGCAAAAGGATAATCCAGAAGTAGATCCACATGCATATGTTCAAATGATCTTCTACAAAAGTGCCATGGTAATTCAGTGGGGAAATTCAGATGCTGCTGGAACAACTGCATATCCCAGTGGGAATAAAATAAGCCTAGAACATTACCTCACAACAACACATTAAAATTAACTTGGAATAAATGGATCTAAATATAAAAGGTAAAATTAAAATGTATAAAAGAAAATAGAAAATATTTGTAACCTCTGGGTAAGTTAAGATTTCTTAGAACACAAAATACACAAAGCATAAAAGAAAATTAACTGGACTTTAAAAACTTGTGGTCTTTGAACATGACTAGGAAAAGGGAAAAGCAACCTGAAGATTGGAGAAAAATATCCATAATACATTTATTCTGCTAAAGGCCTTGTATTCAGAATATAAAAGTTTTCTTTCAACTTGATATTTTGACAACCCAGTCAACTTTGAACACCCTCTACAAAAGAAAACATACAAATGACTAATGAGCACATGAAAAGATGCTGAGTATCACTAGTAATCCAGAAAATGAAAATTAAAACAAGGAGATACCATCATACACCTGCTGGAATGACTAAAATTAAACTGACACTACCCCCAGGAATGCAATTGTGGTTCAGCATGAGAAAATCAATGTAGTACATCCCATTAACAGAGTAAGAGGGAGAAAATGACCTGATTATATAAATTGATGCAGAAAAGGCATTTGACAAAATCCAACATTCTTTCATGGTAAAAACCCTCCAACTTTTCAGAAATAGAAGGGAACTTAAGATGATAAAAGGGCATTTAGTTAACATGAAGAAGGATAAACCCACAGTGAGTAAGGTGAAAGACTGAAAGCTCTTCCCTGAAGGTCAGGAACAAAACAAGGATGCTACTTTAAAAATTGCTATTCAACACAGTACCAGAAGTTCTAGCCAGAATCAGACCAAAAAAAAAAAAGGCATCCTAAATAAAAAAAGAAGTAACACTCTCTGTTTGCAGATGACTACATATATGTATAATCCCAGAGACCCACAAAAAACCTACTAGAGCAAATAAATGAATTCAGACAAGTTTCAGGGTACAAGATGAACACACAAAAATCAGTTGTGTTTCTTAACACGAGAAATTGACATTCCAAAAAGGAAATTAAAGCAATTTGATTTACAATAGAATCTGAAATAATAAAATACCTAAATTTAACCAAGGAGGAGAAGACTAGGACACTGAAAACTACAAAGTATTGCTGAAAGAAATTAATATCTAGAAAAATGGAAAATTTTCCTATGTTCATGGATAGGAAGATAGTATTGTTGCCAATACTACCCAAGATGATCCATGGATTCAATGCAATCCCTATAAAAATCCAGTCCTTTTTTTATTTTCCAGAAATGGAAAATCCAATTACCAAATTTAATTGCTTTGCAAAGGGACCCAAATAGCCAAAATGGTCTTGAAAAAAGGAAAGACAAAATTAGAGGACTCAAATATTTCCCAATTTCAAAGATTATTATTACAAAGCCACATGAATCAAAATAGTGTAATCTTGGCATAATGACAGATATGGACCAGTGGAGTAGAATTGAGAATCCAGAAGTATTCATCTTTGGCCAGTTGTTTTTTGATGAGGATATCAGGTCCATTCAATGAGGAAAGAATATTCTCTGCAACAGATGGTTCTGGGACAACTGGATTTCCACATGCAATAGAATGAAATTAGACCCCTAACTCATACCATATACAAAAATTAATGCAAAATGAATCAATGCCCTAAATATGAGCTAGACCATAAAACTCTCAGAAGAAAATATAAGGGTAAATCTTAATGATTATGGTTGGCAATGGAGTCTTAGATATAGCACCAAAAGCACAAGCAACAAAGGAAAAGATAAATTGGACTTCACCAAAACTTAAAAATATGTGCATCAAAAGAAATTACCAATAAAATGAAAAGACAGCCCACAGAGTGGGAGAAAATATTTGCAAATCAAATATCTAATAAGGGCTTAGTATCCAGAATATATAAGTAACATCTACAATTCAACAATTCAACAAAAAATAAAAACAACTCAATGAAGAAATGGGCAAAGGACTTAAATACACATTTCTCCAAAAAATACACAAATGGGCAATAAGCACATGAAAAGATGCTTAACATAATTGATCATTAGGAAAATTAAGTATCAAAACCATAATACGATGAATGGAATACATATACATACTACAACGTGGATGAACCCTGAAAACATTGTGCTATATGAAATAATCCAGGCACAAAAGAACAGATAATGTGTGATTACATTTTTATGAAATATCTGTAATAGGCAAATTCAAAGAGACAGAAAGTAGAACAATGGTCACCAGGGGCTGAGGGAAGGGGGAAATGGAGAGTTGTTAATGTTTACAGTGTTTCTGTTTAGGGTGATGAAAAAGTTTTGAAAAAGATAGTGGTGACGGTTGCACAACATTGTGATTATACTTAATGCCACTGAATTGTGTGCTTAAAGATCACTAAAATGGAAAATCTTATGTTACATACCAAAAGATTGACACTACCAAGTGTTGGTGAGGATGTGGAACAACCAAATTATATAACTAGCAGGAATATAATTTTATATAAGAAACTTAGCAGTTTTTTATAAAGTACACATTTACTGCATGACCCAGCAATTCCAAACCTGGTTTCTTAAGAGAAATTAAAATGTGTCCACACAAAAACTTTTCCACAAATCTTCATAGAACTTTATCTGTAATAGCCCAAATGTGGAAAAACCCCAATGTCCATCACTAATCCAATAGAATACTATTCAGCAATGAAAAAGAACAAACTGATGGATACACAAGTGACATGGATGAATCTCAAAGTAATTATTCTGAATGAAAGAAACCAGCAACAAAAGAGTATTTATCGTATGTGTCCATTTTTATAAAATTTTAGAAAGTGCAAAATAATCTGTATGACAGTAACAGATCAGGGGTTCCTTAAAGGGCAAAGGATGGCAGGATGTTGGACTGCAAAGATGACAACAACTTTTGGGATTGATAGAAATGTTATATATCTTGACTGAGGTCATAATTTCATGGGTATATACGTCTTTCAAAATGCATTAAGTTATACACATTACATAGATGCAGTTATGTACATAAATTATACCACAGGAAGAAAAAAATGCTCAGTTTGTAGCTACATGACATCACAAGGTATTATGAGGGGCAAAGGTCTAGTGTCTTTGATAATGCCTTATGCCTCTGTTATTGTTTCTTAGTAAAGTCTGGTAATAAGGTCGCTGGTTCAGAATGCCTTGATTTCACTCCTAATTCTGTGCAAAGCTTTTACATCCCTCTAGTTCCTTCTGACATACTGAGATGATGATTTAAAACTATACTTTATTCAATATAACAGTTCAAATTCCAAAACCAATCTAATTACAGATATTCTGTAAGAACAACCCAGTCTCCCTCTGGCCGGAATGCATTGATCAAAAGTGAAGTTTTGTGATTTTATTGCCTTTCTTAATTGCTTTAGATCAAGGGTCAGGAAGGAGATAGGCACTTAGGGAGCAGAGAAGCTCACATCATTCAAGGGAATGACGACAGCCCATAAAAGGCTGGTTCTTATTTTTCCAAGTACAAGATTGGGGGTTGACAAGATCATACAAATTAAAGAAGAAAAAAGTCCTTGGCTAAGCTTCTGTTCTAGATAGGAACTTTGTACCAAAGTGGCTGTAAATATAGGCAATCTGCTTTTTTGTTTTTCCATTTCATTTTTTTCTTGATTGAAAAAACTAAGTTATTGGAACAGGAATAGTAATTTGGTCAATCTTGGAGAAGAGACTGAGGATATGGGAAAGTTAGGAGGTACATAAGAGCTGACAAAGGGAGGCAAGTCCTTAGAGTTGGAATCTCAGTGGTGAATGAGATCACATTAACTAGCTGTTCAGTCTCTCTGGACTTCAGTTTCCTCATCTATGTAATTTCTAAGAGTACTTCAAACATTAAAATTCTCCAATTTTTTGAACATCCAAAAGCATTCTACTTTCCGTCACTGAGAAAGGACAACTTGGTGGGTAAATGAAATCATCAGATTAGTTGCATAGGGGCTCTTTGAACGTGTACATAGAGGTAAGAGGTGGAAAACACCACAGACTTCGAAGCTTCCTTTGTGCTTTGTGCCCAGAGCCCCTACTGAGGAAGAGACTGCCACATGTGGTTCCTTCTCGGTAAGTTGCTATAGCCTCACCTGATGCACTCCTTGAACCTGAACATGAGGGAGGAAAGTGACCTGGACAAGAACGGGTTCTTTGGAGAGGTCTGAGTCTCCAAAACAATGTAGAATTGGGAATTTTAGTAAATAGTATCTGCTCAAGCAGGCCCTCTCTCAGATCATTTGCATTTTGGGCAGTCTGCACCCAATCCTGGCAGTAGGAAGGAGGAAATGTCCAGTGGACACCAGGAGACAGCTAAGCCTGGAGTCCCACAAACAGCAGAGCCTCTAGAATGGAGCTGGAAAGTCTGACCCTTAAGAGACACCAAGATCTATGTCCCAAACAGAGTTCCGGGCGGCCTGGCACTGGGGGATTATCCTTGATTACATGAGGTGGCCTGGGAAAGGATTTATTTCCTACAAATCAAGAGGCCAGCTACATAGCAGATCTTGTGTGTAATTATTGCCTGGCTGTTTAAATCCATGTTCTCTTAGAGTTACTAGCCAGTATGGACACTAATTTAGTTGTTTCAGAAATGAAGCTGGGATCCAGGGAGTTTTCATGACTTCCTTAAGGTCAGGATCTCTTTGTGCTTTGTGCCCAAAGCCCCTTCTGAGGAAGAGACTGCCACGTGCGGTTCCTTCTCAGTAAGTCGCTGTATTCCTAGGCTTAGCTTTTGATTGCTCCTGCTTTTCACCAGCAACCATTAGCCTCTCTACCTTTTTGTTCACAGCTAAAGAAGGATTTTCTACTTCTAAACAAGAAGTTGGAAATAAGGTATTTCTCTGGATTTGCCACTACATCCTCCTCCTACTGCTCTTCTGTTACACTGTTGTGCCTGGTTCACCATTCGTCTGGGTCTTACATACAGAAAAGACAGCAGAGGCAGTTTCTCCACATCTGCAAGCCACAGGACTGGGGCGGTTGGTGTGTAACCCTTCCATTGCTTGTGTGAGTGACTTGGGAGGTCCTAACAGCAAGGCAGAGGGCTTCCCTGATGTCCCCACTCAGTGCCTGGGGATGACAGGTAAATACAGCATGCCCAGTTAGTGCATGAGACACACTTATACTAAATAAGTACTTGTTTATCTCAAATTCAAATTGGGCATCCCATATTTTTCTTGCTGCATGTGGCAGTCCTATCAATGCCCAAGTGGGTACAGATACAGGACCAGAGGGAGGGGTTCATCAGAGTGAGAGGTAGAGGGGGTTGATTGCACACAAGGAGCTCTGGGAGCAGCTCTCAGCTCTGCTCCCCTTTCTGGATTTGCTAAGCATTGTAATGTCTGGGTCTGTAAGCCAAAGGCCTGGCATTAGCACAGCTGTGAGATCAGTAAATCTGCAAAGGGCAGAATGGGGCCAGAATTTGATGGCATTTGTGCTACTCAAAACTCTGGGTCTGTAGAATTTAAGCTGGTAGTGTTTTGCAAAAGTAAGCCTTTAGAGCTTAGAATGTAATGCAGAAAATTAACGTAGTACCTCACCTGAAGTGAAAAATATTCCAAATGCCAATCTGCATGCTGTGTGCCGTAGTGCCCATCTCACTCCACCGTCTACATTGGATGTACTCCCAGTTTTCAGCTAGCACCAGCTAATACCACAAACATGCGACATGACCTATAATACCCACTTTATTTTAGCTCTTGGGTCATCTGGTTTTCATTCAGGCCTTGTTCCAGATAAAAGATTGCTTGCTGCACCTCGCCAAAATTAAATTATTATTTTCCTCCTTTCATGAAAAAAGACGGATTTTTCATTTGATGTATTCCTAGGCTTAGCTTTCGATTGCTCCTGCTTTTCACCAGCAACCATTGGCCCCTCTACCTTTTTGTTCACAGCTAAAGAAGGATTTTCTACTCTTTTTATTCTCAAAAGTGAGACCAGCTTCTCAGGATGACAGCTGTAGTCTTTCTGTCTGACGTCTTCAGGACAGCAAACCCCATTTTCTATTAAAAATGATTACTCATAAATAGAAGTGCATTAGTGTTAGCTGTGGCCAAAGCCATCTTCCCTTCTGTGCAGAGTGATAAACTGGCGAAAGGGCAGGAAGAGAAGGGTCAGGGCAGCCTGTCCCTGAAGAGCCACAGCCTGTGTGCTCAGATGCCAGGCTCCTTGTGCAGAGTGAGCTTCTGTGTGTCCTGGAAAGAACCCTCCCCAGAGCTGCTTGGCCACTGCAGATTTTAATACAGGACACAGGAAATGCTGTGTGTGCCTGCACATCTGCAAAACATCCTGGATTTGTCAGGAAAAAGCATGAAAGAAGAGCAGGAAAGGCAATAAAAGATAATAGAACTTTAGAAATTATGTATATTGATGAGTGTGTGTGTGGATACATTTTTCCCATCTAGCTAGCTACTACTGAGTTGGGATCAATAATTTAAATAACACTGCTCAAGGGAAACGCTGAAATGGTGAAACAACAAAACTCACCAAATGCAGACCTGAGAGGGGGCAGGGTCTTGGGGGATGAGAAACACACCTGTCTGCAAAAGCCTCCCTCCAGAAGTTGCACACGTGGCCACGGCCTTTGCCTGGGTTGCCCTTCCCCAGAGCCCAGAGGCACTTCTCCAGAGAAGCTTCCACAGCAACCCTCCCGCAGCCTCCCTAGCTGAGTGCTGTCTTAGCTGCAGAAATGGAATGCACAGCCTGCCACTGTGGGAGTTCTGGGGTTGCCAGATGTGGGCCCTTGTCCTTCCCTCCTTAACTTACTACTCAATAGGACTTTTTGGTGGGATAATATGGTAAAAATGAAGTGTTTTTTTCTTATTCAAGTAAGGACTAATCGGGACAATCAGAAGCCTCAGGAAACCTTAGCAAGAGAGAACCCCCGTCTTAAATTCCTGGATCCCTTCTGAGACTTAAGTTCTTGCCTCACAAAATTACAAGGAGGAATGTTTTGTGGGTACACCAGTCTGAACTGGAGACCCCTTGCAAGCACGTGGCCTGCTGGAGGAGGGGCTAGAGCTGGTGGCTGGAGAGGCTACAGAGCCTGCCTGCAACAATTCCTGCTGCATTGTCCAAATGTCCGTTAAACCAGTTAGAAGCCAGGCACTGGAGAGTCTTTTGTCTTCCTCAGCAGTGTTTCTAAAATCTGGAGACCACCTATGATGAGGAAGAATGTGTGTTAGTTTTCGTATTTTCTAATATGTTGCCACCAGATTTATTGACATGCCATTTTAATGCTCGTCGTCTTTCCTGTGGTCACTGAGTCACCTTGGGCAGCTGTGGCTGATCTCTGGGGGCAAGCTGGGCCTTCATCCTTGAGCAGGTACAGGCCTGGCGTCTCGTAGCCAGTCCTCCTTGAGTGAAGAAACAGGGCAGGAGAGGGTCCTGCAGTGCACCTCTGGGATAGGGAGGAACTGGCACCCAGACCGCGTCCAAGGTGGACCCCATGCTGGAGATATGGGGAGTCAGAGAGAGGATGCTTGGAAGAGGAAGGAGAATTCTCATCCAGAGGCACAGAGATGCACCTGGCTGCCTGGAGAACTCCCAGCCAATCGGAGCCTGACTCCCCCTCCTCTCCACCAATCAAGGCTTGCACCACCATGCCCTTCCCCCATGCCCTGCCCAGGCCAAACAGAGACAAGCTTCCCACTAGTCACCAATCAAGGCTTCAGACAAAGAATGATGTCATCAAAGCCCACGTGGATTCACTTCATCCTCTAGCTGGACGGTAAATCCCTGCCTGGAGAGTTGGGCCTGCAGGTCTCTTGTCACTAGGTTCCTGTTGTTTAGAGGAGAGCAGACAGAGGAGAGCAGGACAAGGTAGGACAATCTTTAGAGTTTAAATTTAACAGGGCTGTTTTTGTTTTGTTTTTAATTCTCTTGTGTGTTTAGAGTACAAAGTACAGGGTGGAAGAGAGGCAGGTGGGAATCACTCCTCCCATCCTGCACACTGTATAAGAAGGCACATTAATTGAAAAAATGACACTAACTTAGATGTTCATGAGACTCCTGATACTGCAAGAAAATTGTTCCTAATCCCGTTCAGTGAGTAGAATTTACTTCCCCTTGAAATGGAAATCTCGAATCAAAAAAAAAAAACTGTCTACTGCTGCCCCCATTTAAAGGCCCTAAGTCATTGCCAATAATACTGGTGTACAATTGAAGTTTTAGTTTGGGGGAGTTTGATGAGAAAAGGGGAGATACATGTGCAGGTTATAAATTTTATAAAGAAAATTTTAATTTTTATTCTAAGAAAGTAAGTCTTACAACTGCTTTGGCTTCTAGGACTTATGCTTAGGTGGAGATCTGCATGTGTGAAACAGAATTAGGCATTAAAAGGACAGCCATCAAAAGCCAATAATGATACATGACTCCATATGCCAATGACGTGATTTAGGCTGCATTAATAAAAACTTACTTTATAAAGCCAGGATTGTACACTGGAGGAAAGACTTGCTGCCTCAACAGCTGGGTTTGCGGACATGGTGAGATTACTTGGTGACTCAGCTAGTTCCATGGGAACGAGGATTCCTAGGCACAGTCACTCAAGATAGCTCTAAAGGTTTATTTCATAAATAAACTCTGTGACAAGCTCACATTGTTTTTCCTCAAATGAGATTCCAAAACCAGGCCTTGACTGAGATCTTGCTCTGCTGCATGCTGGTTGTAGGCTTCCAGAACTGTCTCACCTTCCAAGCGCTGCCTCTCCAGGACCACCCTCTCCCCAGAGCTTCCCACATGCAGTGATGGATCAAAGCCAGGGTATGAAGACCTGCCACTCTTAGCCCAAATCAGGACATCCCTGGAGAGCATCCCAGCCTGCAGATGCCTGTGGGTCGGCCAAGCATGTCCCTCTGCCCACTCCTGCTTTGGTCCCCTCTCCCACAGGGACTGAACTCTGGGACACTGCTTCATAAACATCCAGCAACCGAAACAGCACTTCAGAGTCTGCCTCCCAGGAACCCAGCCGGCAAATAACTCATGCCAGTTCTCTGCTCTGTATTAGTTAGATCACATGTGCAGTGCTGCCCAGGATTGGGACAAAGATTCTACTCAATCTGAAGCACTTTCTATTTGTCAAAGCTGCCTGAAATTAAATAGTCATCCTGTGAGGGTGAGGAGATGGTCGAGAAAAATGCTATTGGAAAGCTGAGGGATGGGTGAAGGGGTGAAATGAAAAAAACTAAGTGGAGGGACTGGACAAGGTCCCTTCCTACATCAAGACCTTAACATGTGTTATCAGTTTGCTAGAACTGCCAAAGCAAAATACACGATCAGCATGGCCTAAACAACAGACATGAGTATTCCCACATTTCTGGAGACTGGAAGTCCAAGGTCAAGGTGTTGGCAGGGTGGCTTCTTCTGAGGCCTCTCCCCTGGGCTTGCAGATGCTACCTGTCCCTGAGTCCTCACCTTTTCTAAGGTCACCAGTTGTGATAGATGAGGGTCCACTCATATAACCTCATTTTACCCAAATTACCTCTTCAAAGGCACTATTTCCAAACATAGTCACATTCTGAGGTACGGACTTCAACATGTGAATGGGGGATGGGGAAAGGGGCACCGATCAGCCCCTAACAATATTCCAGGGTTTTATTGTATACCAGATACATAGTACTCTTTAGCACACATCCTGCCCAATGTTGTTATAAAAGATCAAATTCACTATTTAACTACACAAGACAGGGTTGGCCAAAGTTGTGTTTGAAGGAGTAATCATACAGTTACAGAATTTTAACTGCTAAACAATTAGTCACTTAGTAACCTTTGAAATAATGCTGGCTTCCTGGGTCTAGTAGCTATGGCTACCATTATATTACAGTACTTTATCTAGGTAGGCTTAACATTGGCCAGGGGAGTCAAAGCAGACACACACATTTGCACCAATGTATGTTTATGCAAACGCATACTCCATACCCAAGGGACAAGGCCTTTGTAGATACAATAAGGTAACTGGGTTTTCTGGGGATAACATCTGAGTACAGAAAGAAAAAGGCTGTTACGGCTTCACCTCTTGGATTCATTCAGTATCCATTTACTCATCCATTCAAACAATATTCCTTGAGTTCCAATTACATGGAAAGCATCGTGCTAATTGATTTGGGAAAACCAACCTTGTAAAAATAAAAATCCCACCCCCAAAGGGAACATTTGGGTCAGACAAGCTGAGCTGCTATAATGATGCCTAAAGTACGGCTTCATCGTCATGAGGACTGGCTCCTTCCTGAGTCAGCTGTGTGGCCTTGACCAAATCACCCAGCCTTTTTAAAAGCCTCTGTTTCCTCCTTCATGCAGTGGAGATAATAGTAACACTTACCTTATCGGTTGGCACCCCCAAATGGTGTCTTGGGGAAGCTTTTCCCCATCTTCCGTAACTGTCATCAGCACCCTCCACAGCTGCCTGTGTTAAGTATGGAATCTATGGAAAAACAGCATGTTTACTTGGTGTTCACATACCCCTCTTCCAATCAGATGGCAGCCCTTAAGGCCCTCCTACCCAGAAATCTCCAAAGTACCAGTTTGCCTTCTAGGCTGTGAAAATTAAATGAGAGGATGCAGGCAACACGTTTTCTCCTGTAAATGCGCAATGAGTGTTAGCTGTTAGTAAGGCAGTGTGTGGGTACCTACCCTGAGGGCACGGAGACCAACAGATCCCAGTTTCCCCTCCTCCATCTCAGGACAACACTCTGTACTGGAAAACCTACATCAGGATGTTAAAGGACATTCATGTAAGTAACATAGGGATTCTGCAGGAGAAAGGGTCACTTTCTTTTTTTAAGAATGAGGAATGATTTTGTGGAAGACGTTAAGATTTAATCTGGTCCCTGCAGGACAGCAAGTCCGAGTGAAAGGAATGAGGTAAACAAGGAAGTGGGGAAGGCCGGCCACAGGGCATGCTCATTCCGCAGGAAGGTGCCCTGGCGGGATGGGGCCTTTGGCTGGGGTGCAGCGGCTGTTAAGACTAGAGGACATGGTTGAAGCTAAGACATGAAGCATCTTTACAAGATGAGCTGAAGAGGAGGAAGCTGGTGTGGAGTCAGTGAGGAACTCCTGCCAAGTGAGAGAGCATCAGAGGGCCTTCAAGGAGGCGGTTCAGGAGCCAGTTCAGTACCCTTGGGAGGATGGGCTGACCCGGAGTGGGGAGAGGGCAGGGAGGAGGCCAGCAGGAAGGCAGCAGATAAACTGACTGGAGGAGAGAGGATGAGGACCTGAGCTCAGGCAGTGGCCAAGGGGCCGGCAAGGGGCTGTGGTTGGAGGGGCCCACAGCAAGGTGCTCTTCTCAGTTGGTGGTAGAAAACAAGAGGGCACAGGAGTCAGTCAAATACGTCGTGGCCACTTAGCCTCAAACAGAAGTACAGAAAGAATAAAGAGGGTGTAACTCAGGGGGGGAAATGTGTTCCCAGCCTGGGGCAAATAAAACACAAACCACTGAAACCGAAATCAGTTGAGGTAAAAACTAGGTGGGAGAAGGCCTTTTACTGCCTACAAGAATCCTGGCTCCTTCCGTCTACTCCCCCTCACCCGTTTCTCCAGCTGCCACCCTTGCTTCCCATTTCTCTCCCATTTTTTGGCTGGGACACCTACAAACCTCTCCTGTCAGAGCCTGCTTGCTTTTTCACCCACCCTGTGTAAACACCTATTGATATGGAGATGTACTAAGGCCAGGAGAGAGATTCTGGAGATAATGCAGTTTTACCCACCAAGGGGCCTGGAGGAAGAGGGAGTCCTTGAATTTGATATCAGAGTTGTTGACCGGAATGGACACAGTGGCCCCACATCCAAAGGGAGATGTTCAGCAGACATGGAAATTGTCCAGGCCTCAGGTTGAGTCCCTGGCTAGAGATGTGACTCGGGAGCGAGCCCCAGAGATGTGAGCACCAAAATGGGGTGGAGGAGGAGCATGCTAGGGAGGGGGGCACATGTCAGTGCAGGGCTGCAGAGGGTGTAGGAAAGGCCAGAGACAGAGCACACAGATTGATCATCCATCCAGACACGGGGTGTATTAGAATCTGACTCAGCCATCCAGAAGTCAAGCACATGGGGGAGGCTGACAATGAGGCCCTCTGCAGGGCTACAGGGATTCCGAGCAGGGTGTTAACTTTAGGGCACCAGGCAGGGTGGGGTGGGGAGCCCCAGGAGGCCAACAAAAGCTCATCAAAGGACAGGGAGGGTCAGGACTAAAAAGGAGTTTTGGATTAGGAAAGCTTTGAGATCTTGTCAAATGACAAGAGATAAAGAAAAAAATAGGTGAGAACATGGGGCTAGAACTAAATTAGCTATTTTTTTAAATGATAAGGCCCAGTTTGGATGGAGGTCCTGAGAGGGTTTTTGGAAAAGCAGGGGGGTACTGAGGGGGTGCTCAGATGCAACTTACTCCCGATTTTATGAAGATGTATATTGTAAACACATGCACACACCCACGAATTTAGGCATTAAAAGAACTATTAATTTAAAAGTGGTTGTCTTATGATAATGGAGTATAGATATTTTTTCCTTCCCTTTTGTATTTTCCAAAATTCTCCAATGAGCGATACTTTTTAAATAGTTAAAAACCCAAGTGTGGGGTTAAAATAGAGGAAGTAACTAGGTAATAGAGTTGAGAGAAGCATGGAATGAGAAGGGATGTGGGACAGGGATTGAGGGTGATGGGCAGGGAGGAGGGAGGGAGAGAAAGGCACAGAGGTTGGGGGAAGCGCAGAATTGGAGGAGAAGCACGGTGAGGTCGAGGGGACAGAGAGGAAGGGTCAGAAGATGCCTGTGGTCATTTTAGGCAGCCCTGATCTCCACCAAGCAAGTGGCTGGACAGGTCACTGCCAGGGAAGAGAAGTGGGATGTCTCAGAGGGATCCTCAAACCCCGAAGGAAACAAGTAGACCCAGTTGTACAAATTCGTGATCTGAGTATCCACCAGGAGAAGGGTCACCTCCCCAGGGAACATGCTTGGCATTAGAATCTCCTCCACTCACCAGTCAGCTCAGAGAGCTCACAGTGTTTTAAATTCGACAGAGGCTCATTGACATTTCCGTGTGAATCCCTTCCAGTGGATCTTTATCTTCCTGAGATGTCTCTCATTGAGCTCTGCTCTCCACTGGGGCATTCCAACGGGGCTCCGCTCTGTCTAGCTG